AATGGTTTGCAGATGGCTGTGTGCATCTTTAATAAAGACAGAAGAACACAAGTTACAGCTCTAAATGCCACAGAGCCTTTCTGCATCTCCACCTTTTCAGAGAGCAATATTTGCAGTTTTCAAGGCAGTGAGGAAAGTGTGTTGGTTTCTTATTACATTTTCCCTGCAGCATAAATTCTGTTGATGTGCTTCCCTAATCATGCTAATTATACTGCCATATGTTGCTCTCATCTTTCTTTTTCTTTCCTAATGGGACACGGATTCTCACTTTTGAATATGTCATTTGTTTATTACATTTATCAAGGGTTTTAACATTATATGGGACTTTTAATTGCTTTTTTAAACACTCAGCAGATTGAATATTAAAAACAGACATGAAGGTCAATTATAAATAATATTTAAATTGCTCGTGCCATTTTTATTCTCTAATTTACTGGAAATATCAACTCTGTAGCCCTGCTCCTGTAGCTCCTATTTACTTGAGAATACACACATGTACCCCAGAACAAATCTGGCTACAGTCACAGTTCTGCCCTACTCCAAACTACGTCGTGAAAGAATAGGGGTCCTTCTCAGACAGGTACACTAAAATAAAGATGCATCATGCATCATATTACAATCTTGATACAAATATGCTGCCCTTCATTCCAGCTGTGAACTACTGGAGTATCCCAAACAATAAAGTTGAATATCTGGTTTCCATAAAAGGATTTAAGATGGCTTAAAGTTGAGCAGCGCTTTGTATACAGACATTAAACTCCCAAAGTATCCTCCACTGAAGACAAAAAGCAGTAAACAAGCTGAATACAGAAAAAGCAAGAGACAAACAATTACTATCCAATTATCAAATTAATTCCTGGTATATTAACACCAGCTCTCTTGGCTGGTGCAATTGCATCATAGGTGAATTTGACCCTTTGGTTCATTGAATTTGGATAAAGATAATCATATCAGGCTTTATACAAATAAATAACAAATACTTTCATGTTATTTGATGCTTGTCCATGGTATTATGGTACAAATCCCAAAATCTTACTCTAATGACAGGTTGGAGTGTGATGATGAGATAGCTAGCTTTATAACTGCAGTCCAAGCAAAAGTGAAAAAACATCTATTCTGCCTGTATTCCAGATCAAAGCCCAGACTGTACTTGCCATTTTGATTTCTGACCACCTTATTTATTTATAATTTTATCTCCTTTCAGGTTTGTAAGGATGATCAATACAGGTTGTTGCAAATGCGTAAAACTCTTCAGCTTTAAAGTTCATACGTTATGTGATTCGTCAGAAAAGCATATTTGATTAAGATATTATCTATCCAAGCCCAGCTAATGGAAAGTTCTCCAACAGTTCTCCACCAAAGTGCTATATTTTACAGCACAATTCAGCCCAAACCAGTTCAACTCAGTTTTTGTAAGAGATTTTTCACATTTATAGCTTTGTGGATATAACTTGCTTCTTTGTTCCCAGGGGACTATTTAGACATTCACAGTCTGATAAAACTTCTGAGTGTTTGCCCTGGGACATGGAAAAGGGGTCTCTGGAGAAGCAGTAAGCAATTACGTAACCAGAAAAGTAAAATTATCCCAGGAAAGTGGCCTAAATGTTTGCATAGTGTGTTTTATAGAGGACACATTCTTTTCCTCTTAGTATTAAATGTCATTTCCGCTCATTTTTTCCATACTAATTTTCAAGGATGTGATTTTTCAAAGAATGATTTAAAAGTGGATGCACTCTCCTCTCAGACAAACTTGTCTCCTAAGCTACTGTAAATTTAAATTTCTTTAGGTTGATGTTGAAGAATGTTAGTCGTACTTACATTGTCCTCTTTCTCATGTAATAGCTGTTACATAATGCAGTAGTCTATGTTAAAAAATGTACATTTTAGACTTACCACTGGGGATCTTGATTTATTTATTAATTTGAAGTTACTCTGGTCACAGTAGTGGCTTGTTTGACTTCTGAAATCTCTACAACAGAAGAAGGTCCTTTTCGCATGTAGCTGGGAAAACATCTGGGAAAAAGGAACTAAAGAAAATGTGATATAAAGTAGTTGTCTTATTTCCATCATGCACCATAAATTGTTAGGATTTGATACACGTCTAGGTCAATAGGATTCTTTACAGTCATTTCCAATTTGAGTAGGAATGGCCTCATTCTGTCCCTACTCCACTGAACTTGGATGATTAAATTTGCACTATACCATGCAAGTTGTGCCCTTCCTGAAGAATTGTTGCTAACATGAACAGTCCCAGTAACTCCATCAATACGAACCCACAGTAAGCATTTCTTGGGGTAAAAAAGTGTTCTGCTGGTTACGGTTTTCTTCATGTGAGGGCTATTTTAGCAGTAAAGGTTAAGAAGGCAAGACTTGCTTAAAGAAATTGCAAGGATGCGAGTGAGTTTGTACTGCAAACGGACACAGTTACGGAGGAAGTGTAGAGTCACAAGCAGGTAAAAGGGTTGGAAACAACCATTTATGCTCTGTTACTTTTCAAATACTACCATATGCAAATGAGCAAACATGCTTCAGGAAAGCAGATCTGTAACTAACACTCAGGAGTTTCATGATCCTTGCCCTCAAATCATATTTATTTGGGAATATCGTCATAAGAAATACGGACAAATACAGCAGAATAAAAACACACAGTTTTAGATTGCCTTGTCGAAAATTAAATAAAAAAATACTGTCAGCTCATAACCCATAACAATATTACATAATATACCTGTCAGATATCTCAAGATAAAAATACAAAATAAAACTCTTGAGGGCTAATCTACAGCTACAGCTCCTCAGTGTGCTCAGTGCAGGGGTACATGCCCATAATGCCGTGGGAGAGATGCATATACAAACACCATTTCTTATGGCCCCATGCAGTGTTTTGGTAGCACAGCCTTACAGATTTCAAAGATAAACTATTGTTAAGGGAGAGGCCCTCTCAAGAAGCCTTTCTGCCATCTGAACGTGAATTTCACACAAGGTCAAAGCCTTAATTAACACGTTGGATGTATCAGCCTTCTCCACCAGAGAAAATTCCTCATCCAAACAACACACTAAGCTTTGGGTCATGTCCAGGTAAAGTCTTGCTAACAATAAAGGAAGAAAGAAAGAAAATCAGCTGGCATTAAAGAAAAATTAAGGACTTCTTGTATTTCAGCAACATCTACCACAGTGATTAAAACTGAGTACAAATGAGCAAATAGGATTATTTATACACAAATCACATTTCTATATTAATGAATGAGTTCTGCAGGCAATGAGTACCTCCTGTGAGATCAGGAGCTCCTAGTTTCTGCAGTGGGAGATCTTGGTGACAGGTATGACAACAGGACACTGAAGGCCCCACAGGATGCTCCAAGTACTCTGCAGAATCTGGTATAAATTCTGCTTGAATTTCCAGGAGAAAATTCTTGCAGTGTATATAAGTCACGATGGGACAGAGACACAGGAAAAAAGTCAAGTTCAACTATCGTAAAAGTCTGAAATTTAAAATATTATAAAAACGTTAAATTCTGATTGCTCCAGACTTTCAGTCTCAGTGAACATTAAAATACAATGTTGAAGAACACTCTGTAACAGATACCTAACTGGCCTAGTTTTTAAAGATATCAGTCATCTTTTGTTCCTTTCAAATTTGGTAGCAACTGCAGATGCTCAACATATCTGACATAAGGTCCCAAGTTCTCAGATCTTAAACAAGATTATTTTCACTGCCACAGCATATAGCAATTTACAATTAGAAAGAAGTTTATTATGACCATTATGTTTCTTCTTTTGTCATAATGACAAGAAGAAGCCGTAAGATGCTTTACATTTTATTGGAAAGGGGAAAAAAAGAGTCAACGTTCCCCAAAAGGATGCAAGGTGCATGGAGTCATCCAGGCTACTAATGATTTGCTCAAACACTAGCAGAGAATATATAAATTCTTAACTCTTAGCAAAAAATATTGATTGTGTTATAACATATATGATACAATTTCATTTGTTGACATTTCATTCATTAACTGCACTGTACAGAAATTTGTCCATGCTAAATACAAGCCCTGGACTAGATACACAGAACAATTTAAACGCACTTTTTACATCCTATATGCACAACCATTTCTTAAGTTAAAAATATGCACACTACTTCTTTTACATAGTGTGTATATGGCTTACATATTCAATGACAGGAATTCCACCTTTTGGCATGCCCTTACCGCAGGGCTCAGAGCTTGCACTGTCCACAGCTTAATTTTGATTGCTCCACTGTCAGAAAAGAGACAGTCACCAGGTATGGATGCGTAAGGAACCCTCAGTCTAGGGTGATAGTTTTATGATTACTTCTTTGATCAGGACAAACTGTGCCCTTGTTGAGGTTGAGCCTGATGCCTGATGAGCTCTGGTAAAATCCCTGAAGCAGCAGAGGAATAGCACGTAAGTCTCGATCCTTCATCAGCCTCTGCACAAGCGGAATGCCACTACCCCCACAAGTCCTCTTCAGAGTGGACCATGGTTGACAGTAAAGACTTTTTCAGTCAGTGAGGTAATAACCACCGGGTCCGAAAAGGAGAACTGAGAGCGCAGTGACTCAAGCCTCCTGAGCGCATACAACACGAAGGGGAGCGTACAAGTTTCCTGGCAGGTTCGAGCACAGAGAAATGAGGTTGTCTGCAGCTGCATGGGATGCCCAGGCAAGCCAGGAGGGGTCACGTGCAGCTTGAGGGAAGCGGAGATGAAAATTATCTCTTTCTGGGCACAGTTGGGGTTGGAGGGCTCATTCTCTGCAAGGCTTCTTGCAGGGGTAACTACCTGCATGCTCTGCTTTCACTGCCTCTCAGAGAAAGTTGGCCTGGTGTTTTCTTTTAATGAGACAAATGTTAGCAAGGATGTTGCAGGATCCATGCTGCATTTGAGACAAACTGTGCTGTAAGGCCTCAGGGTCACCTTACAGTTCTGCCTGAGAGGCAACTGAACTGAAGCAAAATTTCACATAACATCTATTTCCATATTTGTCACGAAACAATAAGCACCAACTTCATGGTAGGGCTGTCACCACGGCTGATGTCTTCCAAAATACTGTAGGGCTGAGAATGTTTGAATTTTTAATATTGGATGCTACTTAATTAATTTTAGAGAGATATTTCAAATACTGATTTGTTACACAGCAGTTCTCTCCATATGACAGCCATGCAGGCTGGTCAGGATAACTCTACAACTTCCTATAACAACACTCTCTATACTTTTATTTCCAGATATGTTAAGGAAGCTAACAAGTAGGACTTTTATGTTGCATGTAGCATGGTTGCATGAACAACTATCTACAATAATGTTTCATTTTGACTTTCCATTTCCATTGGATGCCAGTAGCAGTGACATGTAACAGCTATCCCAGGCAGATGATAAATGTTGTGTGGTTAATTGGAAATGTCTGGTGTCAGAGATGCAATAAAGCGATGTCCAACTTTGGCAGAAGAATTATTTTGGCTAGTTTAAGAAAGCAGTATAGAAGAGGAAATAGCAACAACAAATACAACTGAAATCTTGCAAGTTGTTAAGTGCTTTGAGTTGCCAGCTCAGGGTTTACATTTTACACTCTTGATCATTTTGTCCAATCACTCTCCACAGAAACAGAATGAACCAAGAACAAGTTGATGGATAACAGCCTCTGAGAGCACACGGTAGGAACAGCTAGAGTTCTTTTCTCCTGCAACAGAGGTCAAATGAAAATTCATCAACAATAGATTTTTAATACTACTACTTCCAGTATTTAATATGCATGAATTGAGGATGTTTCAGTTCATGATCATTTAGTCTGACAATTAAGGATTCCAGGATGTAAAAGTATTGTTCTTCCCTTCATTAAATGGCTTTGATAAATGGCTTTGATAAATGGCTTTGAAGGGGAAATAGTAAGTAACTGGGGTGTACCATGTCCATACTTCAAAATTTTGTAATAAAGCCACAACTAGAACAAAGAGGACAATAACAGCACTAGGTGAGTCTTTACTGTGTAAAAGTCTCCCCATTATAAGAAAGAAATGACAAAATTACCTGTCCTGTCTGAAATGTCAGAAGCTTTTATGAAATGGCAAAGCTAGTTCTCTACCAGTGCTTCTTTCTGCTCAGTGCTTCTCAGTATATCTTCCGACACCTTACAATGTTTAGGCTCACCTGGAAGACAGAGAAAGATGATTGGGAACCTGAGTGAGGAATTTAATCAAGTTAAGCGAATACACAGACAGGAACTTTTTTCTTATTTCATGCTGTGATCTATTGCTTTCATGCTATCTTTTGCTTTATGGATTATAATGATTAGTTAATTCAATCCCATGCTTACTTCAGTGAGAAAGCAATTAAAGGAAGCAGTGACTGAAATCTCATTTTAACCTTATAAAAGTCAGGAGGAAAAAGATGTTTACATGAGTGTTTATAAAGTGGGTTAGGGTTTGGGTCCGGTTTATTTTATCATCCAACATATTGAAAGTCAAAATTCACCCTCTGCAGAGAAGTGCTGTTTAAATCTTCTTTAATGTAGGCTTTCAAATGGAGAGTAAGCTTCTCTCAGATAATGAAAGATGCCAGTGTTCTAAGAATTCAATTAATTTAATCAGGTAGGAGCAACGACACCAAGTGACACAAGCAGCTTTTGAACTAAGTGATACAACATGGATTTCAAACAAGCAATGATAACACTAGCTGTGCTGAAACTATTCCTTCAGTAACTTTGCATGAGTACACTTGAGGAAACTACAAACTGAGCCAGCAAGCATGTGGAGAATATAGCAAACTTACAGTGCTATTTGCTAACTATGTCATAACTTCTCAGTTTCAACCAGTTGATTGAGTGATCCCATCAGCGATTAATAATGCTGAACTGACAAATGTGAAAAAGAAATCTCAAAAGTGAAGAAGATGAGCTGGGCGAGGCATAAGAGTAAAATATAAAAGTAAAAATACAGGCAGAGAAAGATTTCTGAAGAGCCAGAAAATAACGGTACAGGCAGCTTAAAGGGAAAGAGGACGATGTGTGATCTGAAAAGAACATTGAAAGATGGTGAGTTAGTTGTTCAAGAGGTTCACAGCTTAGAAAAGAGAAAGGGAAGAGAGGAAAGGGAGCTCATGAAAATAAGGAAAGAAAAAAATTAATAGCTATGAATTTACCAGGGCTTCACTGTAAAGAAGTAAGAATTGCTACTAATTTTCTCCTGGTTTCATTGCCATGAATGTTGCCAGAGTGGGTGCTGCCCACTCTGTAATGCAGCCACTAGCAGATAGGCCATATTCCCCCAAGCAGCACTCTTCACTGTCCCCCTTATTGTACATCAATTTAGTGTAGGTGGAATATAGACAACCAGCTCTCCAGAGGCTTTTAAAGTCTCAAAATTTGACTAATGTGTTAGAACAAGAATGACCCCAGATCTTTCAGAGTGATTTAGCAAAATTTCATTATCATCCATAAAAACAAAAAAGGGGATGGGGAGAGGTATAAAAATAGAACCTACTTATTTAAATATTTAAATTTTATACTTGACATAGAGCTTTAGGAGTGGGATAGGAGTAGTTTGTGGAGGACCTGGAACAAAAACTTTGTATGTTTAATTTTCATGAAAACTAAACATTAACTTCCAAACCATACATAACTTTCTTCCTGGCAATGCATCAGTTTTTTTTACATGATAAACACGCGCTGTTATCTTAGAATCCCTATTTTTTTCATAAATACATTGTTTGCTCTTTAAATACAGTCTTCCCTCCACCATTGTCCCATGCGTGAACACAGATGACCTCCTTTAGTACCAGGATCCTATTTACTGTTGCTCTGTTTAGCCACACAGTGACCACAAGCTAAAAAAACGGGCACTACAGCGACCTGTGCCCACTTTGCATGGATGAAAGGCTTCAACCCTCGGCTGAGCACTGTGGTACTGAACAGTCACTAGCATTGGCATGGCATGGAAGATTACCTGATGCTACTTGCCTTACCATAAATGAAACTGGCATGTTGCTGATGTGGATCTGTCTACTGCTATTTAACCTGGTTATCCCTCAGAGTCTTTCAGTTGCTGATTGTTGATGATGCTGAATGCTTTGTACAACTTGATGTGACGGGACAGTCCTCTGCTCTCCTATAGACTGAAGTTACTGGTAATCTGTTTTATCACAGATTTATTATCTCCTTTACATTTTAATAGTAAGGATTAATGTGGCTACCATCATGAGTGTTAAGTTAAAAGTGTGCCAATTAACATTTATAAATCATTGAAACACGGAGTTTTTTAATTAAACATAAGCACTTTTTAAAATTTTTCTAATTAATAAAACACTCAGGAGAAGAAGAAAATCATCACTTAAAAAAAAATTCACCTTATAATAGTTCCACTTACTCTTATAACATTCACTTAAATTCAGGTGAGATGATGGAAAGGATAAAAGGTATTGTGGAGAAAAATGACATTCAGTCACAACTGGAGTTCTTTTAATAGACCCCTCAGCTCTTCCTTCATGCTGACCAGGACCCAGGGCAGAGCTAATCCTGTTAATAAAATGCAATGGTCTACAAGAACTACACCTAGAATGATATGGAATGATATGTGACACAACAAGAGGAAAGCAATCCTTTTTTTTTTTTTTTTTTTTAAAGGAAAAGCCCTCATCATAGTAAATCCAAATACTCAGTGACAGTCCCCAAGAATGCAGATAGATCATCTTCCTGTTTTACCCATCTCTCTTGTAATTCAATCATTTACTCACAGAAAACCAAACTGAGTTTCTGCTTTTTATAAAGGACAGAACAATGACAGCTAACACGAAATTTCAATCTGAGTAACTAAGTCGATTTTCTTCTTACCTTCTGTCTCATTCTCCCAGCCCTGGTGCCTGCATGTGCTTGCTTCTCCTCCCTGCAATTCAGCAAACACTCTGGACATCATTTTAGCTTTCTACCCCTCTTCTTCAGTACAGAATGACACAGTTAGAAAAATCTCACACGGAGAGTGCTAATAATGGCCTGATAGATGTATAGTGCTTCTTAGAATAGTCAAATAACTCTAATTTGGGAACCAGGGAAAATTGTAAGGCCATGGACTTGTGTATGTTACTTTCTGCTTGCTTAAAGTGACATTCCACTGAAAATATCTGACCCTGATTAGAAGAGTCCTGTCTGGATTTTCTGGCCATCAATAGAAGTGCAAAAGCGAAAAGGGGGGATGCTACCTATACTGTATCTCCCTTCTGTGCTGAGTGCTTACTGCATCACACACAATATACTCTCCCTTGAACATCCCAAGCATCACCTATACAGACAAAAAGGAGGGGGGAGTGAGAAAACAGAGACTGCTGTTCTATTTGTAGTTATAAGGTTTCTACACATACTGCAGCAATGACAACTCTTGCAAAAACACTAATATTAAATACCTACATTTAGACAACAACAATGACAGTTTAATGGATTCCCTCCATTTAGAATAACATTAATCATTTCACCACTCTGAAAGACAAATGGGAAATATTTTAGCCTGAGTTTTCCCTTTGGTATTGAATATTGAAAACTATTCCAATACTAAATGCCTGCATTGCCTTTTGGTTTTTTACAGCTTTTTAACACAGTGGCACAATCTCTGCAGAGGTACTTAAATCTGCTGCTGAAACCCTGTATTAATCCATTTCCTCCCAAACAACAGGGACCTGCGTCTCATTCTGTGCATTACAGTAATGTAAATATCTGCAGTATGCTTCTTTAATTGGCAGGCACACAAAAAGACCACTGTATATTTTTTTATCAATATATGCTATGACATAGTTGAGAAATTAATATTAGGTGTCCTTTGTGGTTTATTAGAAGCATAAAGTTCCCTGAAATGCTTAGTGCTGACTTGAAAGAGTATAGGATTTAAAGAATATATAGATAGGTTTCTCACTATATTGTAACATGTCTGGACTCTCCTCAGGAAAGAAATTTTTAAGAATAAGATGACACAGTCCCTCTGTAAATAATTTTAGAAGACCATAAAATATTCAAAATATTTTTCCTGTATCATTTAAATATTGGGAAAATGCAAGAATGAGATATTATTAAAGTATAAACCAAACTATTTAATAACATAAAATCAAAATGTAAATGACATTGTGACTGACTCATAGAACCCTATAATGGAAGAAGAAGATGGGCAAGGGTGATATGCCTGTCAAGCTCAGGAGATAATGCAAGGGTGACTGACTGGAGCTTTTGCAAAGAAAGCTGACAACATTAACACAAAGGGGAGTGGAGGGTGGCCTTTGGTTTATATAAGCACTTGTATCAGCTGAATGGATCCATGGACCATGTCACAGTTGAGAGGATCACCAGTGGTGTACGTTTGACCTTGTGTTCACTAGAAGAATGTGACTGTCTCCCTGAGTTAGCCAGGCCACCCCAATATCAAGTACAAAAACTAAACAACTAGCAAAAGAACTCCGAAGAGAGCAATGGGCTTGAGCTGGCTTCAACCCAGTATGCCTTACTGGTGACTAGGGGGACACTGAATCCTGACAGTGAGCATGTTCTAGAGACTGGTAATTGGACTCGCACTGACACTGTGATTGAGCTGCATATTGTGATTGCTCTATTTTCCTAAATATAACTTACATTACATTTGTAGGGTGCTATCAGTACATTTTGTATAACTATGCTAAATCAGAAATTCCACGTAACATCAACTGTCCTCAGATAAATTTGATATTAAACATTATGGCTTTCATGTGTGGAATATCTAAACAAAAAAGAACCTGGTCAGAGAGTACTGGACTTTGACATTAATATGCCACAGAAACCCAGCAAATTCAAGCTCTCCATTTAATTGGGCATTTATCTATGCAGGGAGATGAACACAAACAATCTTTGAAGGAGATGGATACGAGTAAATTCAACATATCACAGTGAACAGATGTTTCACACAAAAAAGAGAGCTAAAAATGCCTTGAACTGTCAGATGCCTTTAGAAATAACACTTAACAAATACCCTTATTCTGTGCGTTCTATGCACTCTACTAAAAATCTGTGATAGTGTAAAACAGAAAATCAGCTTCATCTGTAGAAAATTCCCTGCCTTAGAAAACAAAATAGCTTTTTCTAAAACAAGAAATCTCTGTTCTTATATAAAATGTGGAATGTAAAGATTGACAAGGCAACTGAGTACACCAACTGCATGCTGAGTTGTATATGACCTATCAAACAGCATTCTTTTTTTGTTGGTTAGCCATCTAAAGTTCCCCAGTACACCACAACTGCCTTGTGCACAGTTTGAAAGATGTAAGAAAGATGCAGCTTTTCCTAGTCTGTTTCTCATCCAGGTGATGGGAAACTTTTCTAAGGCACTGAAATTGCAAGTTGGTCTTTAATACAAAAATCGGTGCAAATATACTTATCAAAAGACAAATATGTCAGTTATTAGACAACTTCAAATGCTGTGAAATTAATTTTAGTGTAAATATTTTGATTTAGGACCCTAAATTCACCATCTGTTATCTCTGATGGAAAAAAAAAAAACCGTCAACAATAAAAGCGTGGAGTGTTGGAAGTGGAAAGGCAAAATAAGTGGGAGTTCTCCATAAAAAGCATTCTTGAGAAATACGCCAACTCATATACTTATGTCTAAGCTAAGCCTTATAAGCACTTCAGTGTTGCTGCTCAGACAATGCCATACTTCTGGCACAATATTGCAAGACTCACTGTCATAAAAGCATTAGTGAGTTTAGCATTTTAATTAGAAGGAAAAGAAGCATCGTTATATGCCTGGATTATTCTTACTACCCTAATACCTCAAAGCTTAGTCTAACAATAAGCAAATTGAGAAAATAAAATTAAAAAGGCTTTCTCTTACTTTGATATTGCTTGGCCACCTTGCACTTGATACTGACTTACAATCACCAGATACTAAATCATAGCCAACTTATGATAAAATGCTTACATTCTAAAACAATATAAGGGTTTTCTGGGTGCTCCCCTTGTCCTGCAAACTACAGTCAGGAGACTGATCTTTTGGAGTAAGAGAATGACATAGTCCCATTCTACTACAGTTAGCAAATTCCATCTACTTAAAATTAACTCTAAAATTCACATTACATTTAGTAAATGGTTGTGTTTTTTTTTTTAAATAATCATATTAGATGCCTAAACTAAGGAGGTGAGGGTATTTTAATAGCATAAGAATAATTACCTATTCAAAGAGAAAATGTTAGATAATTCTGTTTTGAAAGTTTACCTCATTCTCCAGTAACAAACTGCTATTTAATTACAAATGTGTATCTTTGAATTATTTTAAAATAATTCTCCCAATTTAACTAAAAGTCTTGGTACCTTACGTAAAAGATTTTCTACTAGACATCAACTAGTTCATATCAGGAAGATGATATTTTTTTTGACATCAAACAGCTTTTATTCAATGGTTTTAGGACACTAAAACCATGCTGGTTTTACACATGCCTGAAGAAAGTGTCGTATGCCGGGGGTTTGCCCAACACCTTATTTCAGTCACATTACTGCCAATGTTTTGACATGGAGATACCAGACAGTGCTGCTGCTTCACCCTGGACAGCTTCATTATTATTGACTGGTGCTCTGTGATGAAGTATTACCATTCAGTGGGTCTGTATTCTGTGTTTCTTGCTGGGCATCGGTGAGATCTTTCTGGTTCGGATCAGAGTTAGTGCACTTTTCTGAGTTGGGTTCATCACTCAGAGGAGTGTCCAAAGAGACTACTTGTAGAACGATGGATCTGGGAGGACAGGTTGTACCTTCGCTTCCCTGACTACTCTCATTTTGTATCCTTGTTGTCTCTTCCTGTAACTGTGCATCTGTGGAATTTCTGCTTTGTTCTTTTTCCTTTTCACGAACATCTTTCACAAGTTCTTCTACAAAGAGGGAACAAAATATGTGTATTAGATAAGAAGGATATGCCACAATTGTTTGATTTCAGAGTAGTGACTGATAGAGCTGCACATGAGAACATTGTGAACATTGACTTTCTTCATGAGGACATGTGCATGGGTGTGCTTAATACGAGTCAGATTCTGCTACTGGTGGTTACACTATTGCAACTGAACCATAGTGGTCCACTTTCTGGTTTAGTCTGCAATATGTACCTCTTTTTTGGCCATAGTACAGAGCAAGGAGCATCATCAGACACACTGTAAGGACTGGAGCAGGAGGACCCCATCCTGCAGGCGCATCCCTGCAGTGGTGTTTACCTCCAGGACTAGGAGGAGCAGAGCTCATCAGATCTGCGACAGAGAAAGGACATGGAGGGAAGCACCTTGCTGGGGATGGAGGAGGCATGAGAATTAAAGGGAAGCCCTGAAGGAAGTTGGCCTATCAGTCTGGAAAGGTCCAAAATATCAGCTGATACAGAGCTTCATCTAGAACAAGTTATAGAACATCACATGCATGCAGGCCAGTACTGCTTGCCATCATGGCTAATGGCAAATGCAGAATGGAAAGGAATATATATGAGGCATATTATGCTTCAGGGAACAGCAGCTATAGGGGAAAATAATGTTTGTGGAAGGCTCTATTCCTTCTCTATTGCGGAGACTTGGAGAACAGTAAAAATGAAATGGCCCAGCGTAAAAGGAGACAGAACAGAGCAGCACAGAGAGGTGATAATAGGACTAGGAGATGAAGAAAACAGACAATGGAAAACTTGTGCTGGAGGTTGAAAAGTCTGATAAAAAAATAACTGTACCTTCATGGAGGGCATATTTGTCTTTCTATTAGAATCTGCATTTCATAAATTCTGATTTTAGATTCTGTATACTACTATAGACAATACAAAACTCTACCAATTGAAAAAAACGAAAGCATTGCAGCTTGAACACCTGAACAAAACAGCTTCCTGATATTGCATAAAATTTCAAACTTGGCTGCGCACATTGTATTAAGGAATGAAACCAAACACAGAGTTATTTATTGAGTTCAACTGGCAGCTCCCAGAAACTCTGGATGTGTGTAACCAGTCCAAATCCTGACCAAAACTGGTTGCATATGACAGCTGAAAGACAGCTCAGTCCATAATCACCCATCTACCACAGTCAGCATTTGGCATTTGTGTCACCTCACTTTTCTGAATCCAAAAAAAGTTCCCTCTCAAGTAGAATCTGGCCTGTGCAATGGGACAGAAAGGAACATCTCCAAAAAGGAACTGATGCGCAGAAGTTAAATAATTTCCCTCTGTTGTCAGTTCTTCTACTTCCTGGCATACTTTTTAAAAAATCAAGAATTTTCCAATTTGAGCCAATTTCTACATAGAAATAGAGAGCTGCTCTTTTTGGACTCCAAATTTTCTGAAACTTGGACAGGTACTCTCTTTCTACAGACTTTTTTGTTAACAGCTAATGCAACTCTTTCTCACAAAGAAACGGATAGGCTAAAGACATTAAGAAATAGATATGCAACTTGAAGCAAATCTGATGTTCAATCTAGATTAAAACATCTCAGACCTCACAGCAGCCTTGCAGTATCTGAAGGGAGGCTATAGAGATGCTGGGGAGGGACTCTTCATTAGAGACTCTAGTGACAGGACAAGAGGTAACGGGCTAAAACTTAAACAGGGGACGTTTAGATTGTATATAAGGAAGAAGCTCTTTCCTGTTAGGGTGGTGAGTCACCGGAATGAGTTGCCCAGGGAGGTTGTGAATGCTCCATCCCTGGTGGCGTTCAGGGCCATGTTGGACAGAGCCTTGGGTGACATGGTTTAGTGTGAGGTGTCCTTGCCCATGGCAGGGGGGTTGGAACTAGATGATCTTAAGGTCCTTTCCAACCCTAAATATTCTATGATTCTGTAATTCTGTCACTCATGGTATAATCTACCTACCTAAGGCTTTTGTCCCAAGAAACTGATTTACATACCATATTTGCCTCCATATGGCAGAGCTACAAGCATTTTCCTTAACTTTATAAAAAGACCCAAGGAAATTCCAAGACAAAGTATTTCAGATGCTGGTCACATCCACTAGTAAGTTGAGGAAAGCAAAGTTGAACTATAAACACACATAAAACTGTAATATTAACTCAGCTCACACTACAAAAGGTGGCTTTTATAACCTGGAAGCTGGTAAGAACAGACAGTATTTTTCTCACAGAATGGTGTTTTAGGAAATTCTAACCATAATTCAGATTTGTCTTGGTGTAACGGCGTGGCTGACCACTTTATTCTCATTTAGAAGTCTCAGAATATTCATATAGAAAGCTGATTATCTAAACTTAAAATTGCTTCCCTTCACTCACTGCTAAACATACACTGGCAAATGAAGATTAAGTTTAATCAGAACAATGCTGATGGCCTGTTCTTAATTTCTGTCATGCTGGTCTTTTATTTCTGTGACCGCCCTTGATATCATCTCAAGCATGGCTGTTTAAGGAGATCTAAAATACAACCAAACTCTCACTCAGGTCTACGCACATCTGATGGATGTAGCTTTGAAATAGAGGGTCTCTGCACAAACTTACACCTGATAACATCCTAGTTAAAGTCATATCTATTGCATTTAAACTGCTGCAATGCTATTTGCTCCAAAAGTGAGTGAGTAGAAAAGAATATATGAGAAAAATAGTATCTACTCTAAGCATGAAAAAATACTGTGGAATTTCAAAATCAGTGGAACTAAACCTGTTGTTAAACATTAGTTGGTTTATGCTGATAATCACCACTCCATAATGATCAAATTGCAAAGTCACTGTCAGTTAAATAAGCTTGAAGGAAATTATCTATATAATCACCACTCCATAGTGATCAAATTGCAAAGTCACTGTCAGTTAAATAAGCTTGAAGGAAATTATCTTGTCTGCTTCGGAGGAGTTTCTCCAGGGCAACTAGGAGGAGTGGCTGGTAATTGTGACTGAGACTGGAAAGCCTGAAGTATAAAATCCTCTATGACAATATCACAACATTCATTAAAATCGTTTTTCTTGGTATTAAGTCTCTCATCTGCTGGACATCTAAGACTATGTTTTATCTTGCTTTGCTCCACTCAGCTTCAATCCCTATAAAATCTACTGCCAAAATGCTGAAAAATACTGGATTCTTATGGTATATCAGCCACTTGTGAAATATGCTATATGTGCTGGAAAAATACAGATTTCTGCTTTCCATAACAGCTAATAGCTGTAGTCTATATTATATAGGACCTTTATGTTGCATAAAAGAATTGGCATTTTCTATCATTGCTGCTGCCATATCATTATTGAATAGAAATACTTAAGAGCCTTTAAAAAAGTCTTGAGACCACGTGCTGGTTTTGGCTGGATAGATTCAACTTTCTTCATAGCAGGTAGTACAGGGCTGTTTTTTGGAATTGTGCTGGAAACAGTGTTGATAACACTCAACACAAGCTGAGCAGTGCTTACACAGAGTCAAGGCCTTTTTTGCTTCTCACACCACCCCACCAGTGAGCAAGGCTGGGTATGCAGAAAGCATTGGAAAGAAACACAGCTGGACAACTGATCCAGGGGGTATTCCATGCCACATGATGTCATGCTCAGCATATAAAAAGGAGGAAAGAAGGTAGGGGGGGACATTCAGAGTCATGTGTTTATCTTCCCAAGTAACAGTTAAACATGATGAAGCCCTGTTTACTTGGAGATGGCTGAACACCTGCCCGCCAATGGGAAGAAGTGAATTAATACCTTCTTTTGCTTAGCTTTACCTATTAAACTACCCTTATCTTAACCCATGAGTTTTCCTGTTTTCTGACGATTCTCTCCCCCATCCCACTATGGGGGAGTGAACAATCAGCTGTGTGGGGCTTAGATGTCAGCTGGGATTAAACCATGACAGTCCTTTTTGGCACTCAGTGTGTGGCTGAAAGGCTTCAAGGTAACAACAGGTTTGATTGGAATGTGCTAGATTGAATTATAGCTGTTACAGCTGTTTAGCTATTAATTAGCAGGCTCCTGTGCTTGTCATGGGGATAGCTTGCCTTACTGTATATTAGTCTAGGGCTTGTTAGTGGCTGCTTTATGCTTTCACTGTTTGCTGTGCTGCTGTACTGCTTATCATGTTACTGTGCTGTAGCTGGGCACATTTTGGTAACAGTAATGGCCATGTGCCTGGACTGGGAGAGCATTCCTGCTGCTCCTGTGCTGCTGTACTAGGTGGAACCCCAGTGTGAACTTGAGTTGAAGGGACTGTGACCTGTGGATGAGTCCACATGGTTGAGTAGAACACCCTAAAGTGTCAGTGGCCATGGATAAGACCATGCTAGAGCAGGTACATCTCAAAGTCTCTGTAACCATGGTAATGTCTGTGCTTTCAGGTATACCTCTGAAGGCACTGTGGCCCATGGATAAGTCCTTGCTGGAGAAGGTACACCCTGAAGCATCTGTGGCTGCGGATAAGTCCACACTGCACCAGGTACATCTTGAAGCATCACTGGATGTGCATGAGGTCATGCTGGAGCACCTCAAAGCATGTGCCCATGGATAAGCCCATGGCAGAGCAGGTACAGCCCTGGAGGGACTGCAGCCAGGGACAAGGCTATGTTGGAGAAGGTTTACTTCTGAAGGGACTGTGACTGCGAGTGCCATGCTGGAGCAGGTATCTCTCCAAAGGCATTGTGGCCCAAAGAGAAGGCCACATGGAACAGGGGCATCTCAAAGCAACTGTGGCAGTAGACAACCCTATGCCACAGCAAGTGTATCTCTGAAAAGACTGTAGCACACAGACAGAGCTCCGTTTGAAGCAGGTACACCTCTAAGGGACTGCAGTCTCTGCATAATCCCAAGTGAGAGCAGGGACAAGGTGAATGCAATTTCATTGCAGTGTTAAACGCAATGGTCTAGTCCAAAGGACCAGGGCTGGGGATTGTAATGGAAATAACTTTTAACCCAGGACTTGAGTTGTATGTTACAGGGATTA